AAAAAAACACCTGTTTAAAGTCAAGGTACATTGATTATTAAAATTCTCAACAAACTAAGAATAGAAGGGAACTTCCTCAACCTGATAAAGAGCATACAAAAGCCCTACATCTAAAATCATACTTAATGGTGAAAAACTAATGCTTTTCCCCTAAAACTGATAATAAGACAAGGATGTCTGCTTATATTCACTCACATGAAATATCACAACAGAGGTTCTAGCTAGTGTAATAAGGCTAGGTAAAGGAATCAAAGGCATACAAATTGGAAAGGGGGAAATTAAACTTTATCATCAGATAACATAATAATCTCTGTAGGCAGTTTTATGAAATTTGTAAAAAACCTCCAGAACTAATGAAGTGTAACAGGGTTGCAATGTATGAGATCCAAAACAAAAATCAAATTCATTTCTATATATTAGCGACTGACAGTCTGAAAATGACATTAAGAAAACAATTCCAGTCACAATAATGGCAAAAGAATAAAATAGGAATAAGTTTAACAGAAGAAGTATAAAATCTGTATATTGAAAACTACAAACCATTGCTGAGAAATTAAATGGGATTCAAATAAATGAAGAGACATACCATACTTATGAGTTGAGAGATTCAGTGTTAGGTTGGCAATTCTTCACAAATTGTTCTACGTATTTGGTGTAACACCAAAATCTCAATAGGTCTTTTATTTAAAAAAAAATAAAAATAAAAAGGAAAACCATAAAATTTATATGAAAATGGAGTGTTGTATGGAAACCAATTTGACAATAAATTTCATATATTGAAAAAAAATTTATATGAAAATGGAAAGAATCTAGAATAGCCAAAATAACAGTGAAAAGCGAATAAAAAGTTAAAGGATTCACACTACCTGATTTCAAGACTTAATATAAAGCTAAAGTAATCTAAAAAGTATGGCATAACCATATGGGTAAACATACAGAGAATGGAGTCTAGAAATAAAACCTCATATTCATGCTAGTTCATATTTTATTAAGGTGCCAAAGCAATCCAAGAGGAATGGGTAGGTTTTTTTTTTTTTTTTTCAACAAATGGTTCTAGGACAATACAATATACATATGCAACAAAATGCATTTAGACCCTTACCTCACACTATGCACATATGTGATCTTAAAGTGGTCTAAATGTAAGAGCTGAAACTATATCTTTTAAAGGAAGCAGGGGGGCGCCTGGGTGGCGCAGTCGGTTGAGCGTCCGACTTCAGCCAGGTCACGATCTCGCGGTCCGTGAGTTCGAGCCCCGCGTCGGGCTCTGGGCTGATGGCTCAGAGCCTGGAGCCTGTTTCCGATTCTGTGTCTCCCTCTCTCTCTGTCCCTCCCCCGCTCATGCTCTGTCTCTCTCTGTCCCAAAAATAAATAAACGTTGAAAAAAGATTAAAAAAAAAATAAAGGAAGCAGGAAAAAGTTTGTGACCTCAGGTCAGGCAGAGATTACATAGATATAACACCAAAATAATAATCCACATAAGAAAACGCTGATAAATTGGACTTCATCAAAATTTAAAACTTTTGTGCATCAGAAGGAACCATCAAGAAAGTGAAAGGACAAGCCACAGACTGGGAGAAAATATTTGCAAACGATATATCTTATGAAAGACTTGTAATCATAACTTCTACAACTTAATAAAAAGATAAATAGCCCAGTAAATATTCAGATGGACAAACTATTGAGTAGTCATGCCTTCAAAGAAGATATATGAATACTAATAAACACATGAAAACACGGTAAACACATAAAAAGATCAGAGAAATGTAAATTAAAATCACAAGAAAGGTATCATTATACAGACACTAGAATGACTATAATCAAAAAGATTGACTATACCAACTAAGGGCAACAATGGGTAGAAACTGGAAACCTCATAAATTGCTAGTGGGAATGTAAAATGGTATAGTCATTTTGGAAAACATTCTGGCAATTTCTTAACAATTTAAATATATACTTGTCATATAACTAGTGATAGCAGTATCACTCTTAGCTATCTACTCAAGAAAAATGAGAGTATATGCACACACAAATGCTTTTATCTAAATGTTAACAGCAGAACACCTGAATGGCTCAGTCAATTAAGCGTCTGATTCTTGGTTTCAGCTCAGGTCATGATCTCACAATTAGTGAGTTTGAGCACCATGTTGGGCTCTGCACTGACAGCACAGAACTTGCTTGGGATTCTTTCTCTCCCTCTCTCCTTCTCTCCCTCTGCACCGCACCCACCAGAATAAATAAACATTAAAAAATAAATGTTCACAACAACATTATAAGTGTTGAAAACTGAAAACAACTCTTTATGTTCATCCACTTGTGAATGGATTTAAAAAATGATAGATCCATACAATGGAATACTGTTCAGTGATAAAAACAAACAAACTACTTACACATGCACCAGTGTGGGTAAACCACAGCAGCATTATGTTGTGTAAGAGACTACATTTATAAAAAATTTACAGAAAGGCAAAACTATCCAGAAGGCTTATTAGTTAGTGATTTTCTGGGGCTGAGGGAGCTTGAGATGATGTATATTCTAAGGATTACAGTGATTGTTACACAACGTATCATTTTAGCACTTAAAGTGGGTGAATTTTATGTTATATGAATTATACAACAATGGTGTGTGTTAAAAATGAATTATACCCCAATAGCCAAGATATTTAGAGCAAGACATTTATATTTAACCTACTACAGATATTCATGGATATGCTAGTTATGTATACAAAATTTCTGAAAGTTTCTATTCAAAAAACATGTTTGCCTCTGAGAAAAGAACTGAAAGTCTGGCACAGGAAAGAGAATTACTTTTCATTGTATACCCTCCAACACTGTTAAAAAAAATTACACCATGTATATTATTGTTTTAGAAACTAAAAATCCTAGTAAATTATTAAAACAAACAACCACAGTTCTGATCTAAGGACACAGGCATGCAAATTTGCTCTTTAAGGTCTATACTTATCTGAATGAGGCTATAAGCACTTATGAGTAGCCTATAATAAGATAAAGCCAATTTCATCACAAAACATGGTGTTAGTTCCTAATAATTTCAGACAGCTGAGTGCAAATTGTGGGAATTTTGGGAAACACGAGAGGTTTCTGACTAGAAATACTTTAAGCATCCCTGGGTACTGCATTCCATAGGTGATTGTAGGGGCCACAAAATAAAAAAAAAATTCCTCACCCCCAAACACAAACAAAATGCAAATAGAATGTAACATGCTGGAGGACTAAATGAGAGGTGAAGAAAATAGGGGGAAAGAAAGAGCAAGAATAGGGTTGTCTAGCAGGGAGTGGGCATTTATACATACATAGATGATTTCAAAATACTTCCTCCTGCTATGCCAAGCCTTTAAAAAAAGTCAGTACTTAATGATTTGTACACAAACTTGTTTCTATAAATCATATGCTGGATATAGTGCACAGTGATTTTCAGTATACCTTTTAATATCAAGAACCTGTTACAAAGATTTGCTTTTCAATTGCACGCTATGAAGATACGGCTATTTAATTAAGAATATTGGTTATAATCTTACACAAGCAGTGGTAGAAATGAAAATACACTGTCAATATTTAATTATCAAGATTCAAGTGCTATTTTGTAACAATGCCTTAGGAAGGTCAAATTTAAGACTTCTGCTACCATAATTTCCCTTTTTTAATATAGGAACATAATACTTTGCATACCGTCGCTCAAAAATGCTTAGTATTTGATGTCCATTTTCACACAAGGAATCAATAATGTAAATATTTCCTTGAAGTGGAAACACCTGCAGAGAGGGCCAAATAAATCATAAAAGGTGCTTCTTTTCAAGCTTTGACTGCTTTCATTTGCATTTCAAACCGACAGGGCTCTCATGCTGTTTTTAGTGCTCTGAATAGACAATCACATATGTTTGCCACACATGTGTTCTTCATGCATGAGTTCCTTACAGTACTACCCCTTCTGACCCACCCTTGCTGTAGCTTCGAAGCTCATTTACACTCAACAGACATTTCATGAACACCTATTGTGGGTCATTCGACATGAAGAGCAGGACCACCATTGTATTTTCATCACAATATAACAGATGAGGCTTCTGAGGCTCTTGGACATTAAGTATCCTAAATCCCAGAATTGGTAAGTGGAAAACCAGGACTTAGCCTGAGTCTTTTCTTTTATACTCTATTTTCAAGAATCCTCCCTATCTGTAGCCCCTCCCTTCTTTCTCTCCCTAGTTTGACTGATAATTAAGAGCAAAGTAGCACAGAAATGAAGGAGGGGCCTTCTGCGTGGCCCCATTCTCTCCTCCAGAAGGTAGAAAAGAAGAAACACCCAGGGCTCAGAGATCCTACCATGCTCCTCACTGCTCCGATGTTCATACTTCACCTAGAACACCCAGCCCAGAACTCCAGCCCTAACCCTGTTCCATAACTTTCTTCCCAGGTCATGGAGGGCACCATGAGTAATTATCCATGTGGTAGTGAAAGAAGTGTCCTAAGCATCCCAATTCACAACTCTAAAAAGATTTTTCTGCAACAATCAGTTTCCAATGGTTCTTATGGGGATTATCAAGACTATACTTGAACTTGGAAAGGGTTGAACTAGCTAGCCTAGAATCCTACGCACAATACAGAATATTGGTTTGGTTGGAAGACTCAGATTTCTTAATTAAGTCAATGGAAACCCAGCCTGAGATTTCTACAATCGATACATTAATGAACTTTTGGAATACAGCCCACTTATATTTGGGGATTCAATCTTTACCCTCCAAATTCATATTAAGGTAGATTTGTAAGACTGCAAGCACTATGTTTATTGTGTTTAATGTAAAATAGGAGAATATATATTCTAAAAATTAAAAAAAAAAACCCATAGCTTCCTGGACTCTTTTCTCTTTTAGTCTCTTAGAGTGTGTTCTCATTCAGCTCCAGAGAAACTTCCACTTTTATGATATTATTGTAAAGGTCTTACTATTTTACCTGCATATTTTATTGATGAGCCAGTGTTATCTTACCTCCTCGATGGATAATCAAAGAAGTCTCGCTTCCAATGGGACAGTCCTTAAGTATATCCACTACTTCTGTATGGCTCAGGTTCTGTACATTCTGCTGGTTGATCTCAACAATGAGGTCGCCTTCACACAGGCCAGGGCATCCCTGAATGTCAAGTATTTGTTTCACCCGCTGTCCTGTAGGACTATCGGCAATAGTGAAGCCAAAGCCCTGGGCACCTTTCACAATGGTTAAGGTCATAAGTTCAGCTTGGGTGGCCCCAGATGAAGCCATAGACACATTGTCATCATGGACGGGTGGTGGATACGTGCCATCTAGTTGACCATCCGCTGGCATTGAGTGCAAAGAATGAGGTGGCCGATCTGTTATATCTGGAACTGACTGTGAGGTCCGAGAAATGTATTCCAAATATGTTTCATAGTTATGTCTTCCATTGACCATCACTGGAGGTGGCCTCTCCATTATTGCAAGGGGTGGCACCATGCTGTTAGCAGGATCTTCAGGATCAAAGGGCAAAGGGTAGCCACGACACAACACCAGGTTGACACTTTGACCGATAGGAACAGACTGGAAAAGTTTGACTACATCTGCATGAGTGTGTCCAAGGACACAAACTTCATTAATATAGACAATGACATCACCTGCAAGGAAAAAAGAGAGAGATTGACAACATGAGGTAAGTTCAATTAAAGTTGACATAGAGAAATGGAATTATTTATGAGACTAGTAAAAGAGGCACTGTGTTTCTCAGTAAGCAGTGAGAAAATCAATTAGAATAATATTTAAATTCACCGTAGGTGACTCAAGGTTACAACAGGTCTGCCAACAAATACAATGATCAAATGACGAAAAAAAATCCTATTTGGTTATTCTTGGAGTTCAGAAACAGCTTTGTATTCAGAAAGAAAGGCTCAGGAAGAAAAGTTTAGATGAATTTGTGCCTTGAGGAAGCACACATTCTGTGCTTCTTTTTCATCATCATTTCCATCTTCAGTGCAATTCAGTTAATAGAATTTTCAAACTACTGAGAAGTGGTAGTCGTAAGTTTTGGATGAAAAAGAAAGCCCCAGTATATATAGAGATAGAGACAGAGACAGAGACAGAGATAGAGATAGAGATAGAGATAGAGATAGAGATAGAGATAGAGA